AGTTGCAGCACTGAACAGGAATGTATGCGACTTAATGGACCGAAACATTCCTATTCAGGTTTTTTAGATCGATTTAGCTTATTCACCTTTCTTTTATCCCTTTTAACCCTTACTTTTTACATGAATACGCATTATCTAAAACTAAAATTACAATGTATATCGACAAATGGGCACCAGCTCGCAAATGAAAATGGTCCTGAGCGTGGTATCGGACAATGTGAGACCATTCGATTCAAACCTGTTTATCATTCGCGATATCATTTGGCCGGTGGGAGTGTTGAGGGAAAGCGCCTCGAATGGAAACAGCAAACAAAGGAAATGGGAAAGATACATAAATTACATAAATCTGTGTTTTGCAGTACTGTAACTTCCTTTGTATAACGGTGCCGCCGTCAAACATCGGCACCAACATCAGTCATGTATTCGGCTCTCTTTGTAAACTGGACCTAACTGGAGCGAGGCGGAGCTCCAGATGGGCTCGGTAGCCGATTTTTCCGGCAAATTTTTAGTTTTAACACTTGTTTCTACACCGACCGGATGCCGTCTACCAACATCATCATACCAACCAGATGCCGTCTATCACCAACATCAGCACACCGACCAGACACCGTCTACCAACATCAGCACCCCGTTCGCCAACATCAGACCGTACCTTCCATCATCTTTTTTTCTTATTGTTACTTGCTATCGCATAAATGTACTTATGTTACCTCTAATTGACAAAAACAATTGAGGCTAAGCATAACGATAGGAAACTCCAGAAAAGTCAAGGTCAGAAAGAAGAAACTTGTATTTTCACCACAAACTGAAACTTTGCAGGGATGTCCTCTGTTCATGTACAAGCTAAATGTTTCAAATTTAGCTGTCGCGCATGCTTGACTTACGCGTATGGTTACGTCGGATTTCGTAAGCTGGCGCCGCGCAAAATCGGAAGCTAGCCGCAAAAAAACAATCTTGCTAGAATATTTATCATCTAAGAAATTGTGTGCTTAAATCGAGACTTGATTTGCGCTTTCGCCATGCCTTAGGGCACATCAAAGATATTTGTAGGGGAGCAGCGATTTTGCTTATTGGAGTAGCTGCGAAGCTGAACTTTATAAGGATAATATATAGTAGCGTGTGGTCTAAATTCGACTCAGTGGCTAAGTTTCTTACACATGGACATAACAAACATTCATTTTCAATTTTATCGTAGCTTCTAAAACGAGTGCGTTTTGCGAATTTCATTATCTTTTCCTCCCGACATTCTACATGAAATTTGTACTTTTGGATGAGCGACCGGCCGCCGAAGATTATCCTTTTCATACGGAATTTATATTAGCCGTGCATACTGAAGCTCAAGACTTCAAGCGGCCACATGATGCAGTACTTCCATCCCAGCCGACGCCCTTTTGTTTCTGCATGCAAGTAAAGGCCAAAATACGCTCAGCATGAGTCCACGTGATAAACTGCAACGCAACAACCGCTCATGCTGTTGACAATTTGACCGCTTCAATTTCAGAGCAAAAACGCATGAAAGGTGTGTAGGTTAGGGCAGATAAGGTTATTGAGTATGTTGGGTCCGCCAAGCGATAACTTTATTAAACAAACACAACGATACAGAACACCCCGCCCACATATCCACAGCCCTCAACATCTCTACACAGCTACGAGAAAACAAGGCTGGCGATCCCTGGCGCCTCCTGCGGGGACACAATGGCACTCCAGCGATTCTGCCCGGCGTTCCTTCGAACCAGCAATTCCAATGACTCCGTGTGGAATTTCTTATTTCTTTTCACTACTTTCCACAGAAAATGACAGAACAAAAATTTGTATCCGTCACCACAAAAAAATAAAAGAGGATTGTACTTCTTAAAATATACGCCGGTGCATATAATACTTTATCGAAGCGTTAGAGCTAGAGAATAACAATGTCAATTTACTTTTTATCCGGTTCTTGTTTCTGGGGCAACAGGATCCAACTTCTTTTCAACAAATTCAGCTTCGGTCGCAAAGGCAGCAGGACGGATACTGCCGTACTTCTCAGAAGAACTAAGGAGAATAAAAAAGAGGAAGGGCAGCTTCAGAGGAGTTCATCCTTAGCTATACCGTTGTAAAAACCACAGATGCCTAATGAAAAGTCATCCGGCTGCATCCCCTAATACAAAATCAAGAAGACAACAAGAAAAAGGCATCATAAAACCGAAGTAATCTTCAGTGAACGCTCTACCCATAATTATCTTCACCTCCTCCATTTCTCTTTTTCGAGTAATTTTCCTCCTTTTATGAATGATAATTCACGATAAACTCGATGTGACAATGCTGTCCCAGTCACTGTTTCTGTTGTATACGAATAAAACAAGCCCGAGAATTAAAGCTGTGCTTCAACTGTCTTAAAAAACACAAGGAAGTATGCACCTTCGACAAGGTTTGCTTTCACCGTAAAAATCAGCATAATTCGGACGCGCGCAAAAGAAAAGACGAATATACTTTGAAGAACAAGGAGAAAAGCAGGAAAAAAAGGACAATTCAACGAAATTGCAAAAACCACCGCCACGGCAAGCGACAAAAGAAATCTTCAAAAAACGGTGCTTTTGCTTATGTAAAGAAGCGTTCACTGAGATCCATTGAACAAGGAGAGAGTAGCTGTGACAATTTCCCTCAACGCGGAGTCACACAATTGTCTTTCTTTACAAATGAACTAGCAGAAAGACCGAGGTTTCAAAAAGAAGATAAAAAAACACTGCGATGGGTGGTCCCGCAAAAGAAAAAACAAAAGAATATCAGATTTTTCTAGTCTCGATTAATCTCCAGTCGAACAGCGGTAAACTAAAACCAATGAAATTACGAGAGATGAATCGTATTACTTCAGAACTGCAAAAAATCGTAAACTAGGAGATCAAAGATTGGAAGTGAGAAAATATAAAGCAGTGGACTGGGCAACCAAGTAGTTGTGGTTATTTTTTTCGACCCGAAGCTCAGTGCAGTTAAAAAATTCAAAAATGGTTCCCAGTTCCTGGACGCAGAAGTCGGCTATAATAGTAGCGGGACAAGGTGCATTAGAATAAATCAGGTGTCGTGAAATTATATTCATGAAAAAATGAAAAAATAATAGGAGGCCGGACAAAGGGCTTGCTTTTTAGACCTCGAAATTTCATGCTAAGAGGGCAGATGCATTTTCATTGTACACAATAAGACCAATAACTATCCATTCATCATACATCACGGAGCGTATCCAAATAGTCATGCAGATCAAACGGTTCAAGAAGGTGTTATAATATCGCAACTTCTCCGTTATGCACGTATATGCGCTCTTCTAGAGGAATTCCATGACTGAGTGGACGGCTTGTAAGTATCTATAGACGAAAAAAGTTTGATACTGCCAAACTAGAACACTCCGTTCTCAGATTTTGCTTCAGGAACCGATCAGTAAATTCATCTTTCCTGATGATTCAAAAATTAAACGCCTAGTCAACAGTCTATTCTCATAAAAGCTCTTCCTGATAATTACATATAATGAATGTCCGCATCACGTGTTAAGATACCTTCTTCCCTTTCTCTCTCACCTTATTTGCTCCTTCACTTATATCTCTTTCTTTCGCTTATCTGTCTTGTAAATTAGTTACATTATTATTCAAAACATAGCCGGTAGGAGGCTGTACTGATGACTCCCTCTCCTACCGCCCATGCATAGTTCGATCTGTGTATACAGCTAGGGGATGAAACACAGACTGCATCGTAAAATGTCTTCATACACATTATATTCAAGTGAAATCCATCTATTCTTTTATTTCAGCTATCCTTTTCTGACCAATTCTCGAATCAGCACTGTGTCAACAACAAACTTTGACATGCCCGTAGGCGTGACGTTGGAGCACGTGACAGCTAAATTTGAAATTTGAAATTTTCACTTTAAACGTATACAGGGAACAGTCCTGTGAAAATACAACCTTCTATCTTGTCTGATTCTCCGAACCGTTTCCTGCCAAAAAATTTACGTTTTTTTAGGTGTCCGTGCCTGAGACGCAAGCGTATTTTAACAATGATTTCAGGCCTGTAAAAAGTTGAAAACGGGTGACAAAGCTCACACACCCACACTTACACATGCACACACACACACACACACACACACATGCACACACACGCACACACACACACACACACACATGCACACACACGCACACACACACA